TTCGTAACTACAAAAGGTAAGTGAATTTTTGACATGTGTAATCATACTTTATTTATCTCACAATAACCTGCCCATTTTCATCCTCTTTTGTATATAATATATTCTGCGAGAAATAATGGTATGAAATGACCTCTTCAACAAAAAACCAGCAGCACGAAGCTATTTGTCTTTTATGAAGTAAAGGAATTTACTCTGCGAGAGAAATTCAGTGGCGTACGAACATCGGCCTCTCTACAATATATTACAACCTAAAAAAATTAAAAGAGACTGATAATGTGGCACAAAGAAGGGGTGCAGGTCGTCCAAGAAAAGTCAATTCAAGTGTAATACATGCAATTAGTCAATTTATCAGGTGAATTCCTACAATATCGGTGGGTGAGTTGGTAAGTAAACTCTCAGAAAAGGGTATAATACTCAGAAGAGAAACAGTTCAAAGGCATCTTTGCACCAACGGTTACAAGAATTCCCTCCCCCTCGCAACACCTATGCTCACAGAAGAGCATAAAGAGAAATGGATTAAATGGGCCCAAGAATATATTGATGATAATTGGTCCCGCACATTTTTTTCCGACGAAACTTTGTTCCAACTGTTTAGGAACATGATTACTCAGTGGTACAAAAACAGTCGTCCCGTCCGTTGCATCCCTAAGAACCGACAAAAAATTCATGTTTGGGGTGCATTTAGCCTACAGGATAAAACTAACATTTATTGTTTTGTAGGAAAGATGGATGCCTCATTCTACGTTGAAATCCTAAAAAACCAACTTTCGGAGGTTAAAAAAATGATGGGCGACGATTGGTGGCTTCAGCAGGATAATGATTCTAAGTACACAAGCTGCCTAACCAAGGATTTTCTCAATAAAACGGTTCCTTGTGTTATCAACTGGCCGTCGAACAGCCCGGACCTTAACCCCATCGAAAATTTATGGGGAATCATAAAAAAAAATGTGGAGAAAAAAAAACCAAAAAATTTAGATGTATTACAAATGTTTATGATTGAAGAATGGGAGAAGGTTCCAAAGAATACCTATAAAAATTTAATCAATTCGATGCAAGAGAGATGTAGGGCGATAATTGATACAAACGGCAAAAGAATAAACTATTAACAATACCTGTCATTTAATTTCATAGTTCTTATAAATTAAATAAATTGTATTACGTAGTTATTAAATTATTGGCTGTTGCACAAATGATCATCAAAAAATTCCAAATAATTTTAGGTACCACTGTATATTGTATATAATATTTAAAGTATAATAAAGATTTATATAAATTAGTGATTATATATTTGCAAATTACCCTATACTATAACAACTTCATTTTAATATTTAAAAATAGAGAGATCAGAAAGTAGTAATTTCATGCTTCAGCCAGTTCCAACTTGGATGCATTGTTATTGGTGGAATCCTTGTCAATATGATTGACATATTCTTTGCCTTCTTCTTTGAAGCAAAATGCCAATACTACCAAGTGGTGAACCTAATATTTGTGAACTTGGTCAATTCGGTAATAGCCTGCATATAATGATAATTAGGTGATTACATCATTTGGTAACTGAATTCTGCCTAGAGATGAAACTCTAAATTTTCGTGAATCAAGCTCTATTTCTTTTCATTCTTCATTAAGATCAGGTTCTATATAATCTTCACAATACATCCAACACCAATTCCCAGTGGTACTTCATTTTTTGCTACAACATTCCAAAATACTTGTCCTTGTAATTTCAAGTGAATTGGCTGCAAGGTGAATAGAATCACAAATCTGGATAACTTTCAAATCTAATTTTTTCTGCACAATTCGTCTAGAACTACCATGGCCAGTATTCAGGAATACCTTACGTTCAGCGTTCTCTTTGGAAGTTACCTATTCTAAATTATCAACCCGATTATCATGTTTTATTCCATTAATGTAGTTAACGTATGGCTTATTTTTTTGAGTTAGGAATAAAGGCTCTCGCAACTAATATATGGATTCTGATTGTGGGAATGCTATTAATATTAAGATGTGTTTTTACATAACCATCTCTTTTACAAGCATTTTGCCTTAAAATAATATCTTTTTTGTTCTTAATATGACCGAAATTGGATACCAATAAACTTGACTTTGCTATAGGTAACCAAACTTCCATGGTATGATCTGTTATTAATAAACTCTATTTTTCAAATTTATTGATATCAGTATGTCACATAGTTCAAGACAATTTACCACTTGGTAATCCAATATAGATAACTCACAAGTAGGCTTTCACAAACTGAATGTGTTCTGCACTTTGCCTGACTCGCAGTTAGAAATCTCAATAATAAAAATTGCTCAGATTCATTTAACGCTGTCTGATAATTCTTTTTTTTTTTATTTTTCTCTTGCAGGAGGCGGGTGAAACATGAACCCGCAGTCTGATAATTCTTGTGAAAGTAACTGGTAAATTTTTTCTACCTCTGCCAGCTTTGTAACCTACTGATTGAAGCCTTTTATTTAGGTCTCTTATAAATAACCAATTAATCATATCCTCATAATGTACTGTATATCTGTAACTAAAGTATAATTTTAAATTGGTTATAAATTCTCGTACTGAAATATGACCTTGTTCAGGAGTAATACTCATACTAATCGGAATATCAAGTTTTTTATAGAGTGTATAAAGACAATTTTTTTACATTATACATCTCTAACTCAAGTTGGGCAAATTTTTTATTGGTAGATTCTTCATTTGAAGAGCAAGTATCTTTATTAATTTTCAAACCAAGCTTATCAAGTTTATCTGCCATTTTTTTGAAAATACTGTATAACCGATTTCAGAATCACAATCAATTATAGATATATTTTTATTGTCTTTACTTACAGTTGTCATTGTGAAAGATATACAAATGCAATATATTGTGACGGTCAATCGGCGAGTCTGTTGCTAAAATGGGTGGAATGTCGCATAACTGTCGATGAAGTAAGAGGTCTTAGTAAATTTTTAGGCGTGTATGATTTGGTTAAGTAAAAGATAGATAATTTTTCTGCCTTTATTCATTTTTACTTATGTTTCTTTTATACCTTTTAGTTTGGGACGACTTTACATATGATTACATTACTTATCTAATGACTTCTCGTGATTCTCCCTAATTATATAATGCTCGATTATAATGATTTTATATTACTTAATCGTTTTCACGATCCTCCCCTTATTATCTAATTCTCTAACATGCTATTCTACTATTTTACCACTTCCCATCACTTTTACTTACACTTTTCCATCATACCACCATGACAGAAACGGATCCTTCATAGCACTATCGCGACGATTGGTCACGTGACTGGTGTCGCGTTATGATTTTTACCCTCTGACAATATATATTTAACAAAGAAAAATAATTGCGTAATCCACCGAATTTTTCCATAGAATAAGTAAAAGTGATATATAAAATATTTATTTTTGCATTTGGAATTTTTTCATGGAAATATGTAACTAAATCATTCTGCGAAATGTTATTCCATAAAAATTACCTCCATCGATTGTCAATGAAGCATGGAAGCGACTTACAGCTCGAAAATGCAATTCATTAACCGAAAATGAGGTAAGTAACATTAACCCGATTATTGAATCACTTTTAAAACATGAAGTTTCTAGATACCAGCAAAAAAAATGTCAATGCCATGATCCTAATTCTATGCCAAAATTCTTGGCTAGTCTATCTCCGGATAGAGGCAAAGCCTTATTGCCAAGCAATAAAGAATATCATGTAACTGAGACATCTACTAATGTGCACAGCTCTACTGATATGCAGGTATTGTTAGATACAAAGTCACCTGTTTTGCAGAATAAATCTCCGAGTATTACTTATACTAAGGAAGAATTTAATACACGATTAAAAAAAGAAACTGATGCATTGCGACTAAAATTTATTGAATGCCATAGCTTGCAAAAATTCTGTATTAGATATTGAAACAATGAAAAGCTGGATTTAAAATGGAAGTATATATAGTAGAATTTATGTATTGAAATAGAAGATGGAAAAGACTATTCAAATCAAAAAAATCGAGGAGCATAATAAGCTAGTTTTAATCAAGTTTTATTTTGCATGGGCTTTGCATGGCTTCATTTTTTTCGCATAGGCTTTGCATAGTCTCATTTTTCTTTACATGGGTTATTTTTTATTTACATGGATTTTTTTGTAAGAAATGTTGCTTGAGATTTGATGGATACCGAAATTGTTTGTAGCATAAGTGATAAGTTCTATCTGACATATCTCAAACTACTGATTTTTTTTTAGCTCCAAACTATTCCACTCTTTGGGAGCATGACATTCTTCAGTATCTTGTATCGCTAAATTACAAATACGCTCAGTTTGAATTGGTGTCCAATATGTATATCCATCATTACTGGTCATTTAAAATTGTTCTTTATTAGTATCTATAATGCCTTCAACTTGTTTAATCCAAGACATTCCCAATACAATAGGATGATTTAAAATTTTGATAACTAAAAAGTTACCAGCATTAGTTATATCTCCAATACTAACAGGGTTACCTTTTTTCTTGCCAATTAGAAGCGCTTTCATGCCAGCACCTTTAATAATATATTGTGCTTCTTGATCAATATTAAAACCAAGAGATTTAAAGAAATCTCTATCAATCATATTAATATTTGATCCTGTATCAAGAATTTCATTGTTAAATTTTACATTATCAATATCATCAACAATATAAGCTATAGTAGCTTGTGATATTTCGATTCCTTGTTCAGCAATATTAGCAATTTGTATAGGCTCAGATAAGATATTATCTTTTTCCATAAAAGCTTTTCGAAGTTCAACACGCATAGCAGGAGATATCATTTTTAAAAGATCTGTAATATGTATTTGTGTGATCATTCCTGCAACTGCTCTATTTGCTAAAGAAACTGTAGCTTTATGTCTAACCATTCTGGCTTGTGCAAGTTCTTCTTACTCATCTTTGAATATGATATTGAATTGGCTTTGCTTTTTATTGATTGAACCTGACCAATAGAGTCAGTTGGCATTAAACTTTGTTTGAGGAAGTAGTACTCCTAGAACCACATGTCACTTTTTTTTTATAGGAGAATATCGAGAATAGGGACACATAGGTTTCTCCAAAATTTTCATAACTGTTTTTATAGTTATATTATCAAAATTATTATTATTATCATAATATTCCTTTTTATATACAATCTTGCAATTTTCAGATTTATAACCATTATTTTTCTCATTATTATAGCTATCTTTATTATACTTAATAAGATTTTTTTGTTTTGGAAGAAACTTGTGATTTATTAAAATAAATAAGCTTTTGATCTAAAATAATTATTATGAACTTTGAAAAATTTATCAAAGTCAAAATAACCAGTATCTTGTATAAGTTTTAATTAATTATAAGCAAGAATTTTTGTATCTTTTAATAATATTTTGAATACAATCTTTTTTGGTCTAAATCAAAATATTGAATTTTTATTTTTATTTATAGTAAATTTGGCAACTCATATAGCTTTGTATTAGTATTAATGAGATACAAGTGCAAATAAAGAACTTTGTTTTTGTCAGTTTTGTTAAACAGGTTGGAAAAATGTTATTGAAGCTTAATTATAAACTGGAGTTAATTGCTGTATTATTTGTTGAGATATATTATTTTAACCAAATATATATGTTTTAAGCTTTGACGAATTTTTAAGTTAGTTATTTATTGTTTGAAAAAACATATTATTGAAATGAAGAATATATCAATTAATTATTAATAATTCTCTTAACCATTGCTCATGAATTTGTTCAAGAGTTATTTTAACAATCTTGCTAATTTTTTGTAACTTTGATATAAATTATTAAACAGATATAGTTCTTTATACAATTGTATCAAGCATAACAAATTGTTTTAATATATTAGTTGTTATATAGTTATATTAAAGCTTATGATTTTTGTTCAATTTTAATATTTGAAAAAATAATATTAGCATTTGTTTCTTTATTAACATTATTTAATAAGATTATTAGTTTTATAAATAAAAAAAATAAATAAAAAAATAAAAAATAATAAAATAGTAAAAATTTTAATAAATATAATTTCTAAATATATACTTATATTTTAATTAAATATTAGCATTATGCAAGTTATATATAACTTGATAGATTTGATTATATAATTTTTATAATATATTGTTATTATATAATATGGTTGGATTGTTAAGTTAATAGTGAGATAATTAAAACATGTTCAAGATATTTTTTATATTGTTTTAATTAATTGTTATACAGTATATTGTGATTATATATAAGGTTATATTGTTGATATTTATTATATATGATAATACAATTTTCAATTAAATATGATTTCCAATTAATTTACTATATTTTAATAATAATACAGTTTTTAAAAAATATTTGAATTCAATTTCACCATATGTATAATTGTAATTATCAAAATTTATATATAAATATTAATTATATACTCTTCAATCTAATAAGTTATTATATTATTTATATTTTGTTATTATAGTTATATTTAAGTATTATAATAGTACAGATAATATAAATCTTTTGTTATAATAAATTTATTTTTTATTTTTAATAAAAATCATTTGAAAAAATGTTTTATAGATATAGAAATTGATAAGGATTGACAATTAGTCAAAAGATTATATAAAATCTTATACTAGTTGTTATTTATAATAAACAAAAACTTTGAAAAAATAAAATATTATTTTTTAAAAATAGATAATATTTATATATAATAGATAATAATTTATAAAGATGGATAAAAAATTTCTTTTTAGTTTGAAAATTATTTATATAGATTTTATCTAATAAAATAAAGAGCTATTTAAATAAGTATCTACTATCTCTTTATAGTATTTATTTATTATATTATAAGTTAATTAGATTTTTTATATTTTGTAATAAGCTGAAAATAGTTTTTATTCTTTAAATAGAAAGGCTTTTGCTTAAAGATATGTCTTTAAATTAAAGATAAAAACATAATTCAAATATTTTTTCACTATTAAAAAAGTTTTTTTTTTAAATATAAGGTCAAAAAAAAACTATTTTCAAAACTTTTTACAATTTAAACTATTTAATTCAAGAGTTTTTTAAATTATATCTTTATTAAAATAATTATGTCTTTTTTGAAGAAATATAATTAATCTGTAAAAATTTTATATGCTAAATAATTTAAAAATTCATTCTTACTCTTGCCAATTATTATTTTTTTTTAATTGGTTAAGAACATTAGATGCGAGACTTTTATTGATAATATATAATCACTACAATTACATTAAATATTTTTACAAAGTAAACTATTGCTATTCTAAATGTAAATTAATGCTATCAAGTAAATAATATTTCCAATACTAATAGTTTTTCTCTTAAGCCAATTCAACTATCCTGGTTAATCAATTTGTATTATAAAAGTAGATTTGCATCCAAATAGGACTTACACAGAAAAAGAAAATTTTATTACTAGTTTAAATCTACACTCTTATTGATCCTATTGTATTTTTTAGCTGCCTGCTAGAAAAAGATTATATTACTTTTCAGAAATTTAATAAAACATCCAAATATCCTATATATTTTTTTGTTCAAAATTTTAGAAAAAATAAGTTACTCTTTGTTATCACTTGTAGTTTCCAATTATACCAAGTACATATTTGAGATATAATTTTTTTTAAGCAAGTGCTGGATTGGAATAGCCTAAGGCTAGAATATTCTTATGTGATAAAATCTGCTATTGCCAGTTTGGATTAGAGTTTGTAAGCTTATTACCAGAGTTATATCAGAAGTTTTTTCTTGTACAACCTTTTTTGTTTCAACCTGTTTTAGTTAATGATTATCAGAAAGATCAGAGATCCTATCTTTATACAGTCTAACTAAATTTGAATATTGATTTTTGGCTGATTGGATATGATATGAATTGAAAGCTGATCAATTAATTATAAAGGTGATAAATTTTTGTAACAAGATGAATTTGAACTCTAGATCTTCTCCTGGTAACTTATGGAGCATTATCACTATGCTATAAACCTATAGGTCTTTTATTCTTGCTAATTATTTATTGTTTACCATCTATATTATTATTAAAAAATTTTTTTTTATAAATTAGAATATTGTGAAAAAAATTTTTTTTTAAAAAAAACAATTTGCTTTTATATATAATTTTTATATAGTTATAACTTTATAATAAATAAATAATTATAAAATAAATGACCTGTGGGTCTATAGCACAGTAGTTAGTGCTCCGCAGGTCAGATCACAAGATAATGGTTCAAATCCTCCAGAGAGCTAACGTGGAAACCTCAAACCAGAAGAAA